TGAAAGTTTTTCGATCTAAATCTGACTTGAATTTCATTGAAAGTATTTTAAATTCTTTTTGCTTTAACGACAAATCCATTTCCCAAGTTAGATCTAAAGGATTCCCTTCGATCGCTCCTTAACCTTTACTCTTATGAAAGACATAAATTTGTAAATATCTAGCCTCTTCCGAAGTTAAAGGTAATGAACTGAAAACCTCGAATCATTTTATGTGTGATTTAGTCAGTACTCATTCATTATTATTTTTTAAAATCATTTCACCCGGAACGAGCTGATTAATCCACTAATGTGCAAGACCCTAGCAGAGAGTAAAAGAAACAGACAGGACAATGCAAAAACAGGATTCAAGATGACAGATAATGAGCATTGTCATTGCATGTACATTTTCATTTTCCTAGTTAACAGGAAAGCAAAAAGTCAGAAACGAGTTCCACTAGCGAGACGTGAATAGAACTTACGGTTACAACTAGTAATTTCGAAAGTGAAATTATGAGACCTAAGTGTCAATCTAGTACTGCACTTACAATCTGGAATTTGAAGTACCAAAGAGGAATTGCAATAAATATTTTGTGGAACATTAAGTGGAAAGAAAGAAAGACAGATTTATATATATATATATATATATATATATATATATATATATATGAGAGAGAGAGGAGAGGGAGAGAGAGGGAGTAAGAATAAAAATTAGGTATAAACATTGATTCGTTTTCTACGGTTTATCAATTCTTTGGAGGTTATTTAAATTTAGATAATATTTTTAGATTCTAATAATTTGGCTGGACTGGGACACAAGGGTTTAGTGATACTAGTTTTACTAATTAACCCATATTTGGGGGAGAAGAGGTGGATTCATATCTTTCCCAATTCATGCATAAGTGAATATAATGAACCCAACGACAATTGGAACACGGCCCTCCAATTAATATTTCTGAGCCATTATCCTTTACACCACCTGCGCATCCAAGCTTATAGTTACTGGTATTCCCAACCGGTCGTTGGTCGTACGAGTGTTTCAACGCTATGATGCTGTAAACCCTGGCTGGAAATATATATTCTTAAATTACATTTCCAGTAGCCAGATTTTTGTGTGTTAAAATCGTGCAATATAATCTTCCCAATCAACTATCTCCTACCATTTGATCTTGTGCAATACTATTCCTTTCAGAAAGAGATAGTAGACAGAAAAGTTTCAAAACGTTGATATTAATTTATATTCCTCACTAAGTTTTCTGTAAATTTACTCCGTTATACAGCTGATTTCGTCTCGAATATTTTTTTCCATTATATCATTTCGGCAGTATTAGGGTTAGGGTTAGTGTTCATGTTTGCTTCTGTGGTTTTATATAAGTCATTGGCAAAATCATTCCAGTGAAAAGTCAAAGTAACTACACCAAACACGACAAAATGACACTTGGCGAAATTTTTAAGATATAAGGTTGATATAGTTAGCAGAATTTGACAAACCAAATTTAACCAAATAGATAGATATGGTGTCTTGGAATAAAGATGACATTTTATCAGGAACAAGAAACATATTGATAAAGTTTTAATTTTTTTCCACCCTCGCAGAATGCTGCAAGAACTTGCCCACGAGATTGCAATCCTGTTTAAAAATGAAGTCGATGCTGTGTTAGCCTTGGTTGATCAAGGATCTGAAATGGCGAAGAAGGTGAGAAATGGTGCTTAATTATTATAAACGTTTGAATCAATCGGTATTCAGTTGGGAGACGAAAATTATTTCAACTCTTTTCAAAAATTAAAATGTTTAGTAAGTTACTAGCAATCGTTTTCTAACGTAATCTACTCACAATAAGAATTAAACACCTGTAATAGTGCTTCGGTTAACAAGATCGCCTCGAGCAGTAATTGACTAATCTACATACTGGGTTCCCTTATGCCAGACTTAGCTAAGCGTTGTGGAGTAAATAAATCACCCCCGGTAACACAAATGAACTAGGCAAGACGCCGTAAATAAAGAACCCAAAGTGAATCAGTAGGAGTTCCGTTGGAGTCAGTCGAGACATTTATATTCCGCTAAGAGAGAGTTATAACATTAAGTAAATATCGGGGTGCATGCCGAAAGTTAAAGTTCTTGAATTAAAAGAAAATATATGCTGAAATTGATCTTCGGAAAGACCAATGACTTTGTGTTTTTATTATAATACATTTTATTATTAATTATTATTATTCTCATATTGCATATTATTTATAAATTAAATTTCACCAAAGGTGCCTATATATATATATATATATATATATATATATATATATATATAATATGAAAAATATAGTTTTAAGGTCCTCTATATTTTGTGTTAAAGTACTCAATATCAAGGATAAAGTGTATGTAAATATAAAAGTGGACATTGAGCTCAACACCCAGTGACGACAGTCTGCTTCATGCTTAAACGCGTGGCCTGAAGATTGCGTTTAAACATGAAACAGGCTGTCGCCGTTTAATTTTAACCACAATGTCCACTTTTATGCACACACAAAACAACTATATATATATATATATATATATATATATATATATATATATATATATAAATCAACACTCAGGGGCGACAGACTGTTTCATGTTAGACGCAATCATCAAGCCACATATGTTGTTTTTTTCTTGACTATTTATGTATACGTGTCAGTGTTGCATTGTCCATGAAAGTTGGATGGGTAGGAAAGGACCGGTTCCCTGACCTCAATACCTTGGATTTTTTTTTGTGGGGCCACCTAAAACAATTGGTTTATGCAGCAGGCGTTAATAATCTAGTGAGGCTTTATCAAGTTGTCATAGGGGCTGTGAAACCATTCGACACCGTTTGGGAGTATTTGAAACGGTCCGCCAGTCAATGATCCGACGGCTGCATGCATATATGGAAGTAAACAGAGGATATTTTGAAAATTTGCTATGAGTTACTGTGTTGATGTACAATGATGACATTTTGGCCATATGTTTATATGGACATTTTACCTTGTTTTGGTGTGAGGAAGCAGCCTCCAATGTTTGTAAAAGTATCGCGTTGTGCGGAAAGTCATGTCAATTTTTAGTCGTTCATGTTCAAACACGTTAGAAGACGTCAAATATATCGACAGATATAATATACTTACATTTACTTTTACAGCACTCTTCAAATTATGTCTTGAGAAAGAAAGTTTAAAATTACTTAATTCATATCAATGTTACATCTCTATGAAAATGGAAGATTATAAAGTGCATTTTAGACACTTGATGCTTTTATTTTAACCCTAAAATGCCTTTCAAGCAACAACAAAGATATGTGCTGTGTATGGTGAAGGTGCTTTAGCTGACAGAACTATACTGAAGTGGTTCACTAAGTTTAGAGTTAGTGATTGTAGCTTTATTGGTGAAGAACGCTAAGACAGACCCCACTAGAGGTGACGATCAAATCAAGATATTGATTGAGAATAAGCCGCATTACACAACGCAGGAATTGGAAGAAACACTATATTTAACAAAATCCACCATCCATGAGCACTTAGTGAAGCTTGGGTACTCAAATAGCTACGATGTTTGGGTACCACGTTATCAGAGAGAAAAGAATCCTTTAGATCGCATTTCATCTGTGATTTGCTGTATAAAGGCAATGAGAATGCAGCCTTTTTGAAGCAAATTGTGATGGGTGATGAAAAATGAAACGTTTACGACAATATCAGCGAAAAAGTGACATGAGCTAACCTTAGTCACCTCAAAAGCCAGTCTCCATCCAATGAAAGTGATGCTGTGCATCTGGTGGGATTGGAAAGGAATGATTTTCTGGTTGTTTTCCATCTGTTGCTTTACGTTGCATTTTTCGAACTAGGTCTGCGTTTCCGTCGTTTCGCAAGGATGAATTGCCCTACATCAAATTGAGTAATTTAGTGTATGAGTTTAATTGCCAGTGTGCTGCTGGTTATGTGGGGCGTACAACCTTGCATTTGGAAACTAGAATCAACCAGCATGTACCTTCTAAAATACGACTTGGTAAGATAGATAAAATGTGTTATCTTCCCCTCATAAATATGGAATCGGCTATTGCTCAACACTTAGTTGAGAATATAGCCTGTGCCAAGTCGTATAAAAAAGAGTGGTTTAAAATCATTCATACGGCTGGTTCCAACAATCATTTGAAGATTTTGGAATCAGTCTGTATAGGATTAAGGAAACCTTCTCTCTGCCGGCAGAAAGAATTTGTAAAGTCCCTTAATCTGTTGAGGGATATTTTATTTTAACTGTCCCTCGCTAATTTATTTATTTCCCCTCCCCTCGTTACAAGTATATACACTTGTTTGTTATTTTAGCGTGTTTCCCCCCTTGTTTTTGCTCTTCATTTTCGTTACTGTTCTTTTCGTTAATTAATGATCCAACGATTGTCTCCCGATGAGATGTTGGTTGAAAGGGTCTTAGAGACTAATAAAATTAAAATCAATAAAATCCTAGTTTTTCAAACTATATATATATATATATATATATATATATATATATATATATATATATATATATATATATATATAGGATTGGAGCAATTAGTGGTTTTATAAAATCCACCCTGGGTAATGGAACATATCCCCACTGCGCGGATAAATATGAATAACTAATTTTGTCATATCACTATTACTTCTTCAGTGTTCCAAATGGTTTAAAATTTCACAATAACATAATTTTTTCTTCTTCTAATAACTGTCATTCTGTGAAACAGACTCCCGAGTGGGTGCTTCCTGAACACTTTAATCTCGAGCTTTTCAAATTAAGTGTCAATTGTTACATATCCTGCTTATTTTAATGATCAGTACTTCCTACCACCTTTTTAATTCATATCTCAGGCCTCATTTAGCTTTAAAACTTTAACTGTAGTCCTCTAACCTGAGTAGCTCTCGAGCCTATTACTGGATAACATTTTGTAAAAACAATTATCAGATGATAGAATTGGAATATTGTTTAGTAATGTTGCAGACTGAAACAACTTTTTGTTTTCATTTTTGTTCAGTTGACCCATAACATGTGGGAGAATTTGAAGAAGGCCGCTGTTGATATGGTCAACGGATTGGATTCTATTCCTGAGTCTCTGAAGAAATTCCTTGATGACTTGACACGTGATATCGAAGAGATGGAAAGTAAGCTAGTCTTTTCTTTGATCCTCTTGCCAAGCAAACTATTTTATTTGACTTTTTAAATATTTTATTTCACTTAATAATTTGTAGCATTATTTCTAAAGTAGACAGTTTAAACGACGGCCTATGTAAACGCGCATGCGATACGAGATTATTACGTATTAAATAATATTCAAATATATAATAAATTAAATATAACATAAGAATATAACATAATTGGGAATAGGTAGTAACCTTTCTTTTAAACATGTTTCGTAGAATATGACAGAAATTGTTTGTCATATTCAACGAAACACACACACACATATATATATTATAATTATTTTTAAAAAAAATATGATTCCTTCACTATATAAGAGTTCTCATGCTTCAAAAACAAGAGCCAAAAACCTCAATATAATTATTAAAATTAAATTGAATTAAAGTATCAGGCCCTGTTTCATCCTCAGGCGAAAAATTCCGAAGGTGACTGATGTACTGATACAAATTCTTATTTCTTACCGAAATGGTCGCCCCAGTTGTTTCCATAGTAATTAATTTTACGAATGAACATGCTTATAAAAATGCGTAAATTTCAAGATTGGTTATTCCTAAATTTTCGCTTGAGGATGAAACAGGGCTTGCCACTTTAATTCAATTTAATTTTAATAATCATATTGAGGTTTTTAGCTCTTGTTTTTGAAACATGAGAACTCTTATACATATCCCACACCGGATTTTTATTATTTACGCAACCATCAGGTGCTGAGTGTATACCGACCGTTATTTTAATTTGAAAATATATCAATTTATCGTAATGCTAGCCTAGTTAAGTTTATATAGTGATGTAATCTTTTATAAAAACTTAAAAAAATTATTAAAAAATATGTTTCTCATGACATTAAATCTAGAAACTAAGCCCTTCTATACTTTATAGCTTCGAGTAAGCGTGTTCTAACCATTGCTCTACGGCAAAATAAGTAAATGGATCGAGAGATATATTTTAGTTTAAATACCAAATTTATATTTGTATCTTAAATATAATGAATTTAAGATATAATTATAGGAATGGTGCGTAAACTATTATTTGCGTGCAAAAGTTTCCAGCAAATGTTTAAAAATGAGCGCTACGAACTTCTAGGCGCGAACTTCTAAAAATTAGATTCTTTATACATATTGGCAATTTTAAAAAATACTGCGAATTGAATTAGATACAAAAAAATGAAAACCTCACCGTGGAGCAATGTTTAGCAATGGTTAACAAGCAAGGCGGTAATGCCACTAAAACGCAATTGGCTACTGGGAATGAAAGAGAATGAGAAGACTTTAGAAGGAAGTAGAAATCTAATCATAAAAAGAAAACTAAATATCTACTGCCCAAAAATTCGGGGAGGAGCATGAACCAGGAAACAAGGGATAAACCCCTACTCCTGTCCAAAAGACTGGGGACGAGTTCTGCTGTAATATGTTAAATTCTTATTGGATGCTTCACATTTTGGGCCTTGTGTGACACTGTGATATTATCGTGGAATAGGTTTGGCCTCAAGTTCACACCAAACATCAATGAAGGCTGGTTTCATCAGAAGGTTGAGCTGGGATCAGTCTCTACCATCAAAAGCAGAATTACTTCATTTCACACTTGCACCTTGTATTACAGACGATAGAACGAGGATTTTGGATAGATGGATATATAAGCAATAGCTCCAGCGATTCTCTCACATACTGCAGACCGAGAATGTAGTGTCAGTTTGTTGGACTGGAACGTCGACGACGCTGACCGCTTTCCATCCAAAGTGGCTGAGATTAAATGAGGGAAAATTTGGAATGATTTAAATATTACGAAATAAAGATTCAAGCCTAGCGTTATCATTAGTAACAACATAACCTTATTTCAATCAATAGTTAGATTAAATGAATCATAAGAGCATGAGGTTAAAATAACATTTCCTTTAAATGAATATAAAAAAAATCGTACCATTTATTCTGATCATCTGTCTGCAGATCATGGTGTATTCGATATTTACCTGGATGAACTCTTTGATCACATCACTGACAAAGTTGCTTACAAGGTCAGTATATTTTGCTTTTTGTTATCGCCTTCTCTAACATTCTTAAATGAACTATGTGAACAAGTTTGATATTTTTATTTATTTATGTCAGTGTGGATCTATCTATCTATCTATCTATCTATCTATCTATCTATCTATCTATCTATGTTTGTCTGTGTTTTTTTCTATCTATCTATCTATCTATCTATCTATCTATCTATCTATCTATCTGGTCATCTCTTTCTCTCTGTCTCTCTCCCCATCCGAATCTATCTATCTATCTATCTATCTATCTATCTATCTATCTATCTATCTATCTATCTATCTATCTATCTATCTATCTTTATTGCTAACTGGTGTAAATCTATATCGATTCACGTATTTCTCTGTTTGTCTGTATCTCTGTTTTTCCCTATCTACTTCGAAATATCATCTTAATCTTTCGATATAAACGATAACAATTATTTTATAAAATTTCAGCTCGAATATGGAGCCCTTGAGAGACGTGACATCTGGGGTCAACTGAATGATACCCTGCATCGCATTATTGGTCATCTGAGTGGAAGGTTTAATGATTTGAAGGATTTCTTCCATAAATCAGTCAAGAGTGGAATTGATAAATTGCATCCTCATCTTCTTAACATCAGGAAACTTGCTGAAGATGTAAGAGAATTTTTCTCTTTTTTTTTCCCTTTTTTATTGTATGTCGTTTAAGTATCTGAAGCAATTCAAGCCTCTGCATCAGCGTCTTTCCTAAACACAAGACTAATGCGTATAGTTTGCTTTTTGTCGAAAATATGCTTTTTAACATAAAAAAGGATGTTTACCACGTAAGAAAAATTTTATAGAATCATATAATTTTGCCGTTTCATTAAATTCGGCTAGGAATAAGCTTTTGATAATCGCTAATCGTCTGATTCCTGGTCACTGATAATTTCTTTTTTGTCAAAGTTTCAAAGCATTTTATTATAAAATCTTTTTAATACTTTTCTTTATTAAAAACATTTAAATGATTCAGATAATTCGTCCTGACATTTCGGCTTCAGTCATTTTCCTAACGCCGTTCGGTTGCCTTTCTGGGTTTTTTCTAAAAATCATGATAATTGTTCATGTGAGATCTTCGCTATGGTACCTAGACTTTTTGAATTTAAGCGCAGTACTAGACTGGCATCAAGATCTCATCAATTTACTGTTGATCTGGCGAGATGTAGTCGTAAGTTATATTCTAAGAGCATCTTTTCTCGCACTTCTCGCCCGTGGAATTCCCTTCCGGTTCCATTTTTCCAACCAACTTTAATCTGCAAAATTTAAATGCAATGTCAGTCGCTATCTACTGTTTCCTCTTCCCGCTCATTATTAATTTTTCTGTTTCCAATTTTTCTACATCCTGTAAACCCCCTTTGTCACTTTACCGCTCTACATGGGACGATTCTTAGTATAAAAGTTTGCATTAATTTACGAACACTGACAATATGTGTTCCATGATCTTCAATGGACATCAGGACTGAACGCCCCAAATTCCGAAAGTAAGTTTCAAGTTAAGGATCTCGAATATATTTGCTTACAAATAACGTTTTCTTTTCTCCCAAAAGGTTTTCTTTCTTAGGACAACAAAGATTTGAATTGATCAATAGAATAATCACAGCTGGAATATTTTCTATAAAAATATAAATTTCAGCGTTCCAACATTTTCAGCGTTTCGTATTGGTGCATAATTATAACCGACGCTTACGTTTTTATATTTCCTTTCCCCTTTCCTACACATATATAATTTCATTAACAAAAAATTACTTTAGTCTGATGAAGGCCTTCTAGAGGACGAAACGGTTTAGGCATATTTTTCCACTTTGTCATTTATATGCCTAATACAATTGCATAGAGAGACTATACACTGTCACTTTAAATGTAAATAAATCTATTTTTGTGAGTAAAATACCTTTTCTACATACAGTCTAGAGTCTTGTTTGTTCTTTCAGGTGTTGAGTAACATAAGCGTAGTAAGCAAGGCCGTTGCCCAGCAGGCTCTCGAGTTTTTCAAACCATTCGCTCAGCAACTGGGAGATCTGTGGACGAAACTTGTTAAAAGAATTCATGACCGATTTCATATAGATGTACCTTCGACCTTTTAAGCCTTCTCGGCCGTCATCCAGGGATTTCATGTCAAAAGTATTTAGTGTGAATAAAATCTAATTTACATTCAATGCTGTTTCATGTGCTCATATTTTTAAAACAATTTTTTTCGTTAAAGAACTTGGCATATTTTTAGCATAAACAGAACATGGCAATCTAATAAATAAATTTTCCTGAAACAGTGTTAAAAATAATATTGCTTTTGAAAATTACGAAAAAATATTATTGTTGAACACGCACACACACAAACACACACACAGAGACACACGCACACACACATATAGATATAAAGTTTAAAATTTGTAATCTTTATAGAAGAAGATTACACAATATCGGACTTAGTTTGGAGAGCACACTAAAGCGTAGAACTGAAATGGTATTTATTTCTCTGCTTGGCCTACTGATGAGGTTGTCATAATCTAAAATATGCGCTGATTTTTTTCAAACGTTTAATTCTCCAGTGTTCTTCTCTGTCTTGTATTTTGGCTTAAATTCCACAGGCGTTAATACGCAACGTTTTCCTTTCTTATATGATCAGCCACAAGTATTTTCAAATTTTTTTTATTAAATAGTCGAACAATAAGGAAACTATTTGCTGGTTTTGAACGACCACCGGAAGCAAGTAGTAAATGTAACTCAAGTTTAAAAGTAAATGTCTTTCGTCGTCATTGATACCCACTCTCATAGCAACATGGAGAGGATCTCCTAACTTTGCTCTTTGAAAGTGGCTTAAGTAACCGAGTTTTGCTTTTAATCGGTGGAAGATTGAAAATAGATAATTGTTCCTGGGTGACAGACCATCAAACCACAGTCTTCACTCGTGTTTCTTTTCCTGAAGTAACTCTTTCTCTGTAAAAAAGCATTGAGAAGTGGAAGCCACTGACAGGCGAATATTGAAGAAACGCCACCCAGGACAACAGATTTACGATCCATGACTTCTACTTTTTAGTGATATTTTGTACCCTCTCGTATTGGTCATTATACGGGTGTTTTGGGCAAACTTTGTAGGCGTATGCCAGTGACAGGCACACCATGTATGGTATGGCGAGACAATCTGGCTTAGCCGAAGCAACAGACATTCCCATACAGAGCAAGCAATATCTGCTACTATAATAATATAAATTACATTATATATGTAGAGGAACTAGCGTGAAAAGTGGAGAAATAAACAGTCTTTAAAAACAACTCTACAAATTTAAATAAACTTTATTATTGAGTATTTGTTTGTTTTGAAAGAAACAAATTAAGATGATACTTGCGAAACAAATTCACACAAAAATATTTTTCTTTCTTATTTTACAATACAACCGAATCAATTGCGTTAGTATGATAGAAGAAACAGAATGTGTCGACATAAGGAGAGTGACGCATGTTTACGTTGTTTTATGAATGCGTGTAATTTTCTAGCAATAGCAGTTGGCAGACTGGGAGGCTGTATTATAACTACTGCTAACGTTTTGTTTACAAAATTCTGTTCGGATGTTTTAAGTATACTTAATTTACTTTCAAATCCCTAGGCTTGGAATCGTAATCACGATCCAATTCATCAAACCTACAAATTCAAAAAAGAAAAAAGAAAGTATATCTCCGGTTTTAAAAATAAAAAGCAAAAACAAAATTTCAGTGATAGTGTGGGAGTGAGAAACAAGGGTGAGAGGGAAATGCATGAAAGATCTAAAGAGCGCTGTAACCGTAATATCGTAATCACGACCGAATTCATATATATATATATATATATATATATATATATATATATATATATTAAATAGATCGGTTTGATGTTTTGCACGCTTCATCAGGGATATATATATATATATATATATATATATATATATATATATATATTACACCAATTATATATTAGTATAATATATATATATATATATATATATATATATATATATATATATATTAATAATATATAATTGGTGTATACGGAATGAATTCTAATAACCAACAATTACTATTCTTAATATATTAAATAATATTATTTTTAACCATTTTTATCTTTGTATATTTGCTCGCTTAAGTTATAATTTAATAAGTGGTTAGCATTTATTTAATGATACTTTAAGTCTTAAATATTTATTGGTTGTGGTATCTGATTGTCTAGGTCAATGTCTGTCGATGTGTGTACATGTATTTATCGGTGTCTATGTGTATGGAAAGTGCATTCGCTTTTAATTGTGTATGTATGTAGGTGTTGGTTTCCCCGTTTCCTTTTTTCATAAAGGGCCGTGGAGATGTTCCTGTCTCGTCGCTTTTTTGTGTGTATATATATCTAAATATGTCTGGGTGCTTATGTATTATAATCTGATTGTGTTTGTGTTGTTTTACGCGTGAGGTTAGGACCCCATTCACACACTTGGGATTAAAATGTATACATATTTTGTCAGAGGACCGGATAACATAGTGTCTATTCTAATGTAATTTCAACGAAGAAATAAATTGAATAACATATGTATTTCTTCTTTTCTCCTCAGTAATTTTATAATTTTGAACTTAATAATGATTAAATTTGGATTTTAAAATTGGTAATTTTTACTTTTAATATCAAATTTTATCATATAATTTAATAATTATTGGTTAAAATAAATTCTTTTTTGATATTACCCGTATTTTAAAGATCTGAATAGCTATTATAACATGACTTCGTTGTCAAGCTTTTTGAATTTTCTTATACTTGTATTTTGATTGGTCATTCTAGTTTTTGTAAAAACGTTTTCCCCTTGCGAAGGATCGTTAATTAATTTGAAACTTTTAAAACCATTTATTTTACATTCAACATCATCACTTGATAAGACACCGGAGGTGTTGAAACAAAATGGCTATTTTTGTAGTGATTTTATAACATATTTATGTTATAATTTTTTTTTAAATAAATAATTTATATATATATATATATATATATATATATATATATATATATATCGTTTGGCCGGTGATCGCTAGTCGTTTTGGTTCAATCCTCTTCTTTTGGTCTGTGTCGTGAAATGTTCTTTGGGTTCAGAGACGAAACGCTACACCCCCTATTAAGTAGCCGCTTCCAAACACGAAAATCTCGTTCATTTTCTTTGACATGTAACAACCAACTTATGAAAACCCCTTCCCCACTGGCGAGGGAGGGGGTTGGACATACGCAGTCTAACACGTCTATTTGGCCTGACCTTCGAACGGTAACCCCCATAGAACCTTAATCTATAACTCATTCCCACGTTCGATTCAGCCACTCAATATCGACATCCCTATTTAGTCTATCATCTGACCTTAACGGTCAAGGTCAGAAGATTTGAGACAAAATACACTGCCACTAAAAAAAAA